CACATACACATCACTAGAACACTAGAAGCAAAAGATTATCACTTCATTGTTTACATCAGCACTGCATTCATTTGAATACACATGACTAATTGTTAACTGCTTGACTTGTTTCACTAATCCATTAATCAGTATGTGACATTCATTTGAGTATCAGCACTTTTACATTTTATCATATACTGACACCTTGTGGACATTTTGCATGACATTTATTTTTAGCAAGGCATCTTTTAAAGCAGGGCTGTCCAAACTCGGTCCTGGAGGGCCGGTGTCCTGCAGAGTTTAGCTCCAACCCTAATTAAACACACCTGAACCAGCTAATCTTAAAGCATTCTGAAATATTGTGGCACATGAATTATGCATGTAACAAATGCAAAAATAAGGAAAAATAAAAGGCTTCACTTATATTTGAAGTATAGATGCAGTAACACATGATTACAAGTAAAATTTAATTGTATATGCTAGATCGTGAAAAAAATTAAAAAATAAAAACAACCATTTTGACAATATACGTAAATACTAACCATAAAAGTCAATGTGGTAAGTGACACAGAAACACTGAATTGATAAGAAAATGCATTTTATGATCATTGTAACAGTTTTTATTATTATTATTTCTCTTTCAAAAACAAACATACAGAAATACTTAACGTCAAACAGAACACAAACAAAAATGGGGGATACATAAATCAAATATACAACATGGAGGGTAAAACATTAAATTTTAAAAATAACATTTTTTAATATGAGAGAAGTTTTTATACATTTCTTGTTTCTAGTGATTGAAATCAATGAGTCATAAAATATTTCTTTACAGAAATAAGTTCAGTAAAATAAGTTCTTTACAGAAACACCTAAAAGAGGGGGTAATATACATTATTTTTGCTTTATGTACATGAAACTTCCCAAGAAGAATTATCACCTTTAAAGTGTTATCAACTACGTCTGTTATCATTGTAACATTTGTCATTCAAGGTAGGGCTATAGTTTTTGTAGGAAGCTGGCACAAGGGTTATGCACCAGTAGCTTGTGTTAAAGTAGGTTTTGAGTCAAATTCCAGTTGAATAAATACAAACATTTGTTATCTATGATTTATATATTCTGTGTTTACAGGACAATTAAGGATATTTTTGTCATATGCAATTTTATTCAGTTAATAATTACAATTGTCTATGTGGAATTGTACTTTTTCAGGGGGGCTTTTGAGTTGTTGTTGTTTTTTTTGTTTTTTTTTTTAACATTCTTATTAAAGCATTCCAAATACAGCTTTGCTGGAAGTCTTCTTCTTCTTCTAGTATTTCCAAAAAAAAAATAAAATAAAAACTTTCCCCAAACTAGTGTCCGTAAATGACAGGCTTCCATTGTGACAACATATCCTTAAGTATGCATCAACATGCCCTGCTATTAAGACATGCACAACAGGTTAAAATATCCTCATTGCCCTGCACATTTATTTACTTTGACTTAAGTGTGATACATACTGTACAGCCAGCCCTCAAATAAAAAATAGGAAAAAATAAAAAAAGAAGAAGAACAAAAGGCACAAGAGAAGGGCAGAATGATCACATCAATTTAATCAAAAACAAAATATCTATACATCCTCAGTTTTCTAAAAATGTGATAATCCATTAATACCCAAATCCAGGGGCATGGGATTTTGCTAGTGAACTGCACAGCAGCACAAGGTCATAAAATCACTTTCAGCTGTAAGACGTTTAGCAATATGTTTAATCTCCAGCCATTCATTATTTATGTCTTACAAAGAATAGCTGAAATGCATGTTGGGTTGCATATTCATCATTTCAATTTCTCACACATGCCCAGCTAAAAATAACTCACCAATTATTGACAGGCCCAACAAAGCACTGTCTTCAGCCAAAGGTTAAACAGCTATATGTCTAAAGCCCATTTCCCTACTACTGCTACTGCTGCTACATGCCATTAGTGAGATGACAAACATTGTGACAACATGAGGTAATGAGAACAGCTTGCTTGGGTTGACTCAACATGTGCAGCACTGAGTTAAGTCTGTACTCCATACCAATCATCTCTCAGGTGCACAAACACATAAGTTATTAATGTACGACATGAGGTAAGTTGTCTATGCTTGTTGCCACTTTAATTGGAGCATATGCATTTACAAGGGACAGATCTCGAAACAAGTCATTTTCTGATTTTAACAATGTCCAAAATTACCACTTGTTTAATATTTTTTAGAGCATTAAGTAGAAATGGTAAATATATTAGAGAGGGATGATTATGGTATGCTAATAAATGTGCTGCTATTTTTTTATAGCAGCATATATTTGTGTTTATTTTTGTAGAGCAACATGGCTTACATATAATATATTTTATTTGTTGGACTGCACAATAACAAAAAAATAAATACAAATAAAAAATCAAGGGAGTCTGTGTGTGATATATTGCACTCCACCTCCTCAGCTCATCTGACATTGCAGTAACTACAATACTTCATGACACTCATCACACCCTTTAAAAGAGATCCTGGACCTTGTCTGAGCAATGCCAGGCTTCAACAACAACATGTGGTTTTGGGGGAAATGTCATGACTTATCCCAAATCTGTAATTTTGCTTAGCAATAAAAGACTCATTAATAATTATTGAATATTTAACAAATATTGAAGAGTTAATGCAAAATAAGAGAGGTTTATAAATATCACAGTGGTATTCATGGATATGTACTGTATCTGTACTGTGAACTGTTTCATCAGTCACTTGTGGTGTTACTCAAGGCTCTGTGTTGGGACCAATATTGTTTTCTATACCACCACTACATGATTCAGCACCACAATGTACATTTTCATTGCTATGCATATTACTTACATTTGTATTTTTCCTTCAGTTTTTTTATTATCTTAATCATTTAAATGTGCATGCATTGTAAATGTTAAAAAACAGGCTGTTTTGCTACTGTACCTTTTAGACTTATCATACTTAATGTCCAGCAATTAGTGTAACATCAACTTGCTCTGTTATCAATTAAGGAAAACAGGTTAGACATGCTCTGAGGTTTAAGGATACAGCGAAACATAGAGTTATACTACCAAGTCAGGAGTATTTACACATTACACTGTTAATCATCTTCCCTTGTGATATGAGATCAATTTTTAGTCTATTTTAATTTCTTTAAGAAATAAAGTCTTGCATTTATTTGAGTAGTAAAAAAAAATGTCAGTTTGTTTTGTTTTATTAAAGAATTTACCATGAGTTTGTAATATATCTATATATCTGTCTATATATTTCATTTCTGTACCTATCATTATTATGTTTAGTGGAGCAGTTTATGCTGTGTTGTATGAAAGATGCGAAACAACTAAGTTTTGTTAAATATTATTTATTATTATAAAGTATTTATTAATATTCAGTTCTTAATTCTGAATTTAAATTCAGATTCTGAGTAGCACTGACAAGGGTATTGAAGAATTATTGAAATTATAATTCACTTTAGGTGTGGTTATATAATCAAACATTCCTTTCATGTTTTCATGTTTTGATATAATAGACATTTGTTTTGGTTCTTTCAGTTTGGATACTTGCTAGGACTTACTGCATGTGTCATGACACAGTCATTCCTCTTCCACATTTAGAAAACTTCTCTCATGGTTACCTAATGTGTCCCATGAGAGTATGACAAGGTTATACACCTCCCATATATCACTTAACCCTTGTGTTGTGTTCAGAACCCTATCACACTTACGAGTTTACAGAGCAAAAAGGACCCGGCCTCATAAAATTGCTTATAAATCACTCATTATCGTGAAAAATCTCCCGCAGAAAAGTATGAAAATGATCAAACATTTTTTTAGAAGTAGTTAAACCCTTTGTGAACAAAGTCACAAAATTTCAGTCCAATGCGATAACATTAACTAGTATTTTCGGGAAAAATATTTTTTTTTTCAGAGCAAAAAGGACCCGAACACCACATGAGGGGGTGGACCTCGCTTGCGCAATGATGTCTGACACAAAACTGTTATTTTATTTTCTTAGTCTGACGTAGTAAACCGCAAGAAAAAAAAAGCAAAACATAAAACAGTAAATCATATGCTCCATTCATATAATGTGTTATGAACAACACAAGAAACGAGTTACAAAATTGACTCTGCATTCTAATTAAAATAGGGAATCATGTTGAAAAATAAGTAGCTGGGTAAAAATGTTGCTATATAAACAAAAATATCATCCTTGCCAAAGGATTTGTTTTTTTCAGTAGACAGGTTCTATTTGTCGTTTCTCAATAGTGCCACTAATACATCTGTTTCAATGTGTGAATTTGTGAAAGTAACGTTTGCAGTCACCATTAATAATAATATGGAAACAATCTGAATGAATCCTTTATTGCCAATGCAGCATTCTACTCAAAAATAAAAAACAAACAAATGAAATAATTATATAAAAATATATATTTAAAAACATTTAAAATCTGTCTTTGGCATAATAATTAAGAATACTTAATTAAAATAAGTAAACATGATTCCTAGTTCGTTTTTAAGAGTGTTTGAGACTGTGTTTTGAGTCTCTGAACATAATATAATAAAATATACTTACTTGTCGAAGGTGGCACCCTGCCTGACTGTCATAGCCGTACATGGTACTAGTTCTCCAGCACTGTGATCACAGGGGTCTTGACCAAGGTGTTGAAAACAGAATTAGTGGGGGTGTTGGTATAGCCATGTGTCGTCATGTGCATGCCAGCCTCCATCAAAGCATGGATGACATCACCATCAATAATGGAGATAGCTCATCAATGACCAACGGGAGGGGGCTTGTGCGTATAAAAAGAGGAAGAGTAGCCCCAACGCACAAATACGACACCGAACAACAGATGGACCCTCTCAGCACAGCAGCTACAAAATACAGAAGCAGTCAAATAAAAGCCAACAAGACTTGGTGAGTTCAGAGGCCAATGTCTCTCTATCATGGACACTTTATCTTGTAAGTCATAAAAAGTATCTTATACTTTACTTATTCTACAGGTATCACTATGTTACCCATATGTTCTTTGGAGAAAATCATGCTTATTATTGTGCTGTGGGGTCTTTGCAGTTTGGCATATCTGGAAGGATTACCACTCAGGTAAGAGAGAATAGGATGCAGCATATTGGTCCAAGATGTTGGTGTTGTTTTTAGTTTTGTGATTTCAATTCAAATCTGATCACTCCGTATCTCCATCTGCAACAGCAAGAGGTCAATCAGTGAAGTTCAACTCATGCACAATGTTCGGGAGCACAAGGAGGTGTTAGAAAGGCAGGACTGGCTTCAGCTGAAGCTCAACAATATCCTCATCCCCTCAATAAATGACTCCCAAATGGAGCAAAAAGAGAAAACCAACGGCCCATCTATCAGACGTTTAAGAAAGGGGGAAGGTGCGGCGTGGATCTTGACCTGACATTGTCGAAACTGATGTTTCTGAAAAGCTAATGAACTCTAAATAATGAAAAGTGATTTCTCAGTAACGTCAGTGCAGGAGGACACAGTGTCAATTAAAATATACTACTGTACCCGGAGAAAGAATGTGCACTGCTTTACTTATGTCTTTTTAATTTATTTTCAAATCGTTTTTTTTTTTTTTATTTGTAAGTAAATGTTGTTGTTTAGATATTTAAGCATATTTTTCAGAAACTGTGTAGGATATACAAAGGACAATGTCTTAACCTTGTAGTAGGCCTCTCTGTTTTCACTGTTTTTGTTTCAGTGTAGTACCACACTGACTTTTTAAATGTACTTTCAACAAATATTTGTACTTTTATTAGACATCCAACGATTGTACAAAAATGTGGACCAACTGGATGTTTAATTATACACTACATTACATAGAACAAACTAAGCAAGACTGACTTATTTTGTGTTTTTTCTTTCTTTGTAATCTTGTAATGTGATCAATTCTATAAAGCCCATTGACTATACGACGCAATTCTCGCGATACTTCAGCGAAGTCGCGTTTCCTGTCAGCAGTTGGTGGAGATCAAATTCGCTTTTTCAGAAAAAGCTGATGGTCCTCTTCAAATTTTGATGGTTATTCTTTTCTGTTTACCTCACGGGAGAACACCAGTAATTAGCTGCTTTACAAACTATGCACACGACACTGTAAAAAGGTAAGAATTTGTTTAATTAATAATCCAAACGTATGTTGTTTTGTTGGTTAGCTTCGGTGGCTAGCTAATAGTTCTGTAACGTCCGCTGAGGTTTTGTGTGTGAAGACGAGTCCGCTGCTTAACAACGCACCAGACATATAATCACACATTTAATTACAAATCCCTGTTTAATGAACTAGTGAAGCTTGTCGAATAGCGTTTGTTGCTTTTGTTTTTTCTTTATTGTCATGTATCGACTCTGGCAGGATGACACACCATCCGCGAGACTTCTATTCATATTACTTGGGGCACTTTCATCAGAAATGCTGAATTTGTGTTATTAAAAGTTCATAAAGAGAACAGCTATGTAAAATTTGGGGAATGGGTCAAAAGGAAGTCATGTCATGATGGTTTGGTTGTAACATCACATGCTGAATGGTTAAAAAATGGCTTTTTTGTTGAACGAATTCAACCACATGCATCAGAGGAGTAAGCCACACTTAAAAAATATGAAAATATTTCAATACTAAACATGATGTATAACATTTAGAAATGTTTAATTGTGACTTAATTTGAATGCCCAAACATTTCAGTTAGCAAATAAGAATGTAAAAGCGATTGCTCTGTTTAAAGCAGTACATTGGTTGTTAATTAATGTCATTATCTTAGGTTATGAGGAAAGAATCTGAATGAATGGTCTGCTTGTACTTTTGAGGCACAGCCAGTATCACATGAGTTGTGTAAAAGTGTGTAAACACTGCAGATTACTCACACACACTACAGGATGATAAATGTAGCAATTCACTTCCTTGTAAGTGTTTACTAAAACTACTGGTTTATCTACTTGTTAGTCACTTAACCTACGGATTTCAAAGGTTAACAGTTTGTGGTTTTAGAGACTTTATAAGACCTTTGATTTATAAATTCGTGCAGCAACAATGTTGTTGTTATTTACTTCACCGACTCTTGTTATCTAGAGTAGAATATATGGTGTTTGGCACTGTATGTAGGAGTGAGAAATTAGCCAAGGGTTTATCAGAAGTCCTCAGCTATGTTTTTGCTCACTGCATGGGTGAGGAAGAAAGGGGTGGTCTCTGTCTCTCTGTATTTGTTGTTTTATTTTAAGGGACTGGTTTAGATGGACAACTATCTTTGGAATTTCCTGAGCTTTAAAAAAAAAAAAAAACCAGAAGCGCTGTTCACAGAGGGAGTGGTGCTGTGCACAAATGTCTGATTCATATCTTAATGGTTATTTGTCCAATAAGTTTTAGGATTACATATGTTTGGATTTTCAAAGTGTCCTTACCATGGTAAAGTGATGTATCAGATGGTAATCCAACGGCACTTTGATATTTACCATGGTACTGTATGATTACTTAAACAATGGACAACCAAAAGCCGTGGTAGTACAATAGTGCTGTTTTGTTCATTTATGTAGTTCAGGTGTGTATGCACACAGTGATTCAGTAGTGTGACAAACACCCGGGCCCAGGCCCCATTTCTCCTGTGTGTTACACTCATGACATCCAGTTTAATTTACCCCAGGCACTTCCTGATCAACTGGAACAGAAGCCGTTCAAACACACCCTTTCTCAATCCTGTGTGACCGCTCTCATCTGCTGCCTTATTCACTCTGTTGTTTATTTGGATATTAGTAGTCACTGTAAGTAATATGCTACATTTCTGCCTGAGCGTCTGGCATAAACAAGTATCATAAATGTGGTGTTGTGAATTACATTAAAGGGTGTCTTGGGAATGTGTTATTGGTTTATCTGCCGTTTTTTTTTTATTATACCTCTTCATGTTCTTGTTTTACAGCACTGCATAGGCCTAGTTGTTGTATATGACAAAGGGTGGTATTTATGGTTACATTATACTGTAGCAATGCTTCTAGTTCTGAACTATCTCATGTAAAAAGTTCTGGCAGTCCCGTTTTAATCTTTCTGGATTCTGTGTTTTATGATTTATTACAAATTTATAAACTAAAACTATGATCATGAAAAACTTTCTTGTCTTTCTGAGCAATGCAGCAGCATTTTACTGAAATGAAAACTTGGATGAAAAAATATTTTGATTGGGACTAGATGAATAGATTGTCATATTTTGACTAGACATTCTCAAATGAAATGCTGGTGGAATGAGCAGCTCTGAAGATGGAGTTTTATGTTTATGTTCAAATGCAAGATGATTTTGCCCCTACACTACCAGTCAAAAGTTTTTGAACAGTAAGATTTTTAATGTTTTTTAAAGAAGTCTCTTCTGCTCACCAAGCCTGAATTTATTTGATCCAAAGTACAGCAAAAACAGTAAAACTTTGAAATGTTTTTACTGTTTAAAATAACTGTTTACTATTTGAATATATTTTAAAATGTAATTTATTTCTGTGATTTAAAAAAAAATTATACTACAAGCTTTTGAATGGTATAGTGTATAATGTTACAAATGCTTTAATATAAACAAGTAATAATAATAATGTTTCTTGAACAGCAAATCAGCATATTGGAATGTTTTCTGAAGGATCATGTGACACTGAAGACTGGAGTAATGATGCTAAAAATTCAGCTTTGATCACAGGAATAAATTACATTTTAAAATATATTCAAATAAAAAAGCACTTATTTTAAATAGTAAAAAATATTTCACAATTAGGGTTGTAACAGTATGAGATTTTCACGGTATGATAATCGTCTCAGAAAATATCATGGTATCACGGTATATATTCAACAATAATTCTTATCAGTAACAATGACTCTTAAAAGAATAAGAACAAGTTATTTGAGTGAACAAATCCTTTATTACAATGAACTTGAAACCATTTTAATGAAGGTATTGAAGTCTCCCTTCTGAAAATAATAATAAACAAATTTTATTTAATTTTAAAAACAATAAAAAAATAAAGCTACACACCTTATGTATATCTATATCACACTTTAACATTTTAATTAATGTTTTAAAATGTTATCAAACGAAAATGTAACAACTTTTATTATTGGCAAAGTTCTGCACAACAGAGGTATACTAAGTTAAAACATGGACAAACATGATATTCCTTAAAAATAATGTTTAAATAAATTCATTATTATAAAGAATATTATTATTGTTGTTATGAGAACTTTGAAGTAGAGGTCGACCGATAGTGGATTTTGCCGATACCGATAGCTAGGTTGGACCACACTGGCCGATACCGATTAATTAACCGATAGTTTTAAAATTGATACTGAACAAAAACTAAAATAGTGCTTTATTAACAAAAACAGTACTGAACCACTAGTAGTAGTAGTAAAAAAAAAAATAATAATAGTAATAGTAAATGTTGAAATCAACACACTCTAACAAGAAACAATACTTACACAGCTTTCATTAATCTTAATGCTACAAATGGACTCTTATTTTAAAGTGTTACCATTTCATTTCAACTGTCATGCTTAAAGATGCACATCTTTAAATATATACACAAAGGCTATAGCATTAAAATTATATACATATGGATATTGTATGTATACTCTCACACTTTAACTGCTTCTATTCTTGAACACTTGATGATTATCTAATCAAAATAAAAGCGCAGCGCTGAGTCTAGGAGAACTCACCGGTATCACACACTCAGGATGCGTCGCGTTCAACTCGAGCAGCGGTCTGAAACAGTTTATTTAATCACCAAACGGACATAAGTTTACTTCAAGAATGAAGAATTTGGCATGGATGAGTTTGAAGTTCGGTGTTTAAAAAGCGGAGCAAACGGAAAGAGAAAGCGCGACCTATATTATAGCTCTATAAATGAAGCACACAGACTTTATTAGAGCCACAGAAAGACAAACGTTTTGGAACTTTTATTTTGATGGGTTGTAGTGGACCTTTGAGTTTCAGTGTATTTGACAATGGTTTTTCTCAAATAAAACTAGGAAATGTTTATTTAAGTTTTCTCTCAGAGCAGCTCTGCTGATGTTCATGTTTATGTATCTTAGACGCTGAAAACACTTTATGTAGACTCTGAAAACACCATTAGCGTCATGCGTACTTCAGTGTGTAGTAGATAAAACGGCGCCACTCAGAGACGTGCAGAATTTGCAGAAATAAGCAGATTACTTATATAGCAGTCTCTTCGCGCTTCACAGACACATATCATATTTACTTTTGATTTATCCATCCATCAGATTGTGCATTGCTCTGAATCACGGAAATCATACGGGCTTAATTTATAACTTGTTATAAATGCAACATACCTTTATCTGCACGCAGGGATGGTGTTCGTGAATATGAGCGAACATGTTGGATGGCTGTATTGCCTGCTTTTACAGCCACTTTGCGTCCACAT